GCACAATTTCTTGTTTCTGGTTTGCTTTTTCTCACGTTTTGCTTCTCACACTGGGGTTTTTTACGCTTGTCTTGACTTTCTACTTGGTATGCACAATTTCTTGTTTCTCGTTTGCTTTTTCTCACGTTTTGCTTCTCACACGGGTTTTTTACGCTTGTCTTGACTTTATCCAAGGTTGCTCTAGGTAAAACTCCTTCTGCTCTTCCTCTTATTTTTTAATTTTATTTTATCCCCCTGTAGCACCTCTCCTCCCTTATATCTCAGTTATTTGTCCTTCTTAGTTATTTAACCATTTTTATTCTTTTTTCTTCTGTAATAATTGTACCATGAGGATAATACCAAGAACTGCAGCTGCACAAAAAGTAAGATCTGTTGCGTATCAACGTAAGTTACGGTTCAATTTAAATCTACTGGATTTTTGCTGAAATGTTATTCTGATAATCTTGTTTCCAAAGCCCATCTCGAGGTTTTTTGGAAAGTCAGGGTGAAGAGGAGTCACCTGAAAACTGTGCATTGGGTGGGGGAAGAAGGGCCTTATAAAAGATGACAAGCTATGTTGTCATCCGTACTTCACAGTCTAGCATAAAAAAAAAAAGACATGAGCAAGGATCAGGTTTGAAAATCCTAACCATAAGGTTTGAAAATCCTAACCAAAAGTTTAAGCTGGATAATAGCACTTAAAGATGGAATGGTGTGCTTTTAAGCGAAAAAATAAAAGGAATACTGTCATTAATATGTAGGCCCAGCACAGGTATAAACACCACATCTATCTAAATTATTGGTTTATGTGTTTTGTTCTTTCCCCTTCAGCAGCTTCATAAAATCTTCTTCTCTAAAAACGATGCTAATTTCATAGTAGGAGGCAAAATGTTTTAAATCAAACAATTAAACATAACTAAATTACAAAAATAATAATAAAAAAAAAAAATCCTGGAAGGTGAATTAGGTTTGTAGTCCTTTAATAAAATGATAACTGAATGTTGCTTTTCTGTTCCTCACTGAAAGCGTCTGACAATTCAAATCAATTTTACATTTTGTATTTTTCCCTTGTTCCAAGGAGTAGGCTAACATCACCGGTAATTAGAAGAAGTCGCTATGGGCAAGAAAGCTGCAGCATTTCTGAGATTTTGGGGGTCTTATTTTATAGCACTTAAACCCCTGGAGTGGTTTACAGATATTCTTGTTCTCACTTAAAGTATTCTAGTCACAGATGAACGAAAGAACGAGCCGCAGTTCCTAGGTCCATCTCCTGCATTAGCAAGAAGACGCCATCCGTCTCCAGGCGTAACGCCACTCACCTTGGAAAGTCTTTTCAGAAAACTGAAGTCCCGCATGGACGAACTGTTCGCAGGTACCTCTAAAAAGTCCGTAGGTGAGGCTTACTGTAATGGTGGAGTTTGTGCCGGAAAAGTGAACCTCACTACTCATCCAGTGCTGGGTCGCCAGAGCAACACAAATCATGACGAAGGAGACAACACAGGTGAAAAAAGCGGCCGCAAACATGGCTGTTTTTTTTCGGGACGGCATTTTGTCAGACCGAGATTTTTCCACCGCTTCGGGGTATTTTCTTCTCTTTAGTCCTGCTTGGCGTGAGGTTGTTTCCTCCCTCTCGCTATCTGGGATCTTCTCTCGGCTCTAGCAGGGAGTCACCCTGGTAAACTTTAAGCAAACAGCAGTGGTAATAAAAATGTAAAATAATTGAACTTTGGTCTGGAGGAAAGGTGTTGCCATAGTTACCACAACACCAGCCTGGCAAAGGCCGGGAGGAATCGCCGGCAGATGATTTACGATTGCCTTGCCGACCCGTAGCTTTTCAGCTCGGGGCTCTGGGGACGTCTCCCAGAGGCTGACGCCTGCGGGGCCGGGGGGTCCCAGCTCGCCTTGCTCCTTTCTGGGAGACTTTTTTTACTCCCTGACAAAATTTTCTGGCCTGTTCTTGCTTTTTCTCTTGGAAGGCTGATAACCAGGCCTTTTGCTAACTCTCTGTATCTAATGTGTCATGGCAAAGAGGAATAAAACGGTCCCTTCTCCGTTCAGATTCCCCGCTTGCTTACCAGCTACCCAAGCATCTCTTGTGAGACCTCTTTTACGTTCTTTGTGCTCCTTGTGAAAACCCAGGTTCTGGCTTTTGGGGGAAGGAGATTCCATCTACTGTCACTAGATTATTTGCTAAGGAAGAGGTGTAATTCTTAATTACATTTCCTATATTTTCATGCAGTAACTCCTTCCCTTTTTTCAACCTTTTTTTTGACAGGGAGGAAACAAATACCTTAAATGGGGATTCATTTCAGTGACATAGTGGATATGTCAAGGGAGCAATACTGAAGAAAATCTGTTCTGGACTATAATGCAAGAGAATATATTCTTTTCTTCTGCTCAAATTAACCTAAAGAGAGACAAAAGACAGGAACAACACGATATCAAACAGAACGTACAACGCTTAATAAGACTGAAGCCAAATTTCGAGGATTTTGAGGTAAGCTAGGCACCAGGGTCCCCATTTTGTTTGGATGAAACCTGAAACCTAAATTAATAATCTGTCGTCGGGATAAAGTAAAAGAGATTCCATTAGCTTTTCTTTCTATTAGTTATGAAGTCATTAGTCCGTGACTGGTTTGTAGTGTAAAGATATTGACAGGCTGAAGTTTTATTAATTAGAAACGGCAAAGAATTTCTTGGGAGGGGACAATACCTGTTCTGTAACGCAGGGGTATTTTACGGTAATTGTTCTGGTGTTGATTTCTTGATTCAAAACTTGAAAGCAATAATCACATTTGCAGTCAATGTATCTTATTTCTGAGATGTACAACTGGTCTTTTATATGATAAGGTCTTGTGTATTTTTTTTTTCAAATTATATAGGACTTCAATGATACTTTTGATGTCGTGGCTTCTAAGAATTTATAACTTTTATTCGGAAATAATTTATATGCTTCATGTATGTACTTAACATACACAACATAGCGGAAATCTGTCAAAACGTGATTTAAGCACTGAAGGCCAAAGGGAAGACTTTCAGCCCTTCTAGAGAAATAAGAAAGAAGAGACCTGTCTCTCCTTTTCTGTCCGGTACCTCAGTTACACTTTAACCACAGCAATATGGGTAAATGTTATTAGACTGATCCACCTCCACAGGTTTATTAATCTGAAAGTTCTATTCCCCGTTTAGTTGCATACAAAGAGCATAGTCCAAGTATTTATAGTCCAAGGATATTTTTTAATAAACTGAGGTTAAAATCTGCCCGCCTGTCATCAACCCGGTGCCGTCAGCTGCGCCACTTGTCCCCTAAGAAATACGTTTTAAAAAATACATATACTTGAGAATTGATATTTGTCTTGGTACTGATTTTGAGGGAATACATTTTTAGCTGCTGCTCAGTGGTCCTCCTTCAGCAGACTTGAGAGAACCAAATTTAAATGAGCTGAGCACCCACACCTTTAAAAATGCTAAATATCAGAGACTAAGAGCTGTAATGCATATCTAAGCGATCTTATTCAATTATATTTAGTTTTCGGTGACTCAGCTCAAATTTTTGTGGCTCAAATTGTTGAAAGCCTCCTGAGGCCAGGGGAATTGCTCTGTAAATGGGACCGTAATTTGCCTTTTCCTTCCCTGTCACCTTGAAGATAATCTATCCTCTGCCGATGGTACGATTCCTTGTGTCTTTTTTTCTCTATGACTACCTCAAAAAAACCCATCATATAACTTGAAATGAAAATTGCAGTTTGACGTGACACACCTCATCACTTGAGAGAAAAGAGAAGAGATTGGTGTCCTCCAACTCAGGGAAAGTGTTTCCCTCTCAGCACCTTACCGACTCTGCCCCAACTAAGCCAGACTCAGCCCCGCACAACAGTCAAACAGAAAAATCAGAGTAATCGTTATGAATCAGACGGACAGCAGAGAGATTTGCAGTCCTTTGTTATATAAAATTACATAGAGCCCTGTGTTTTTAAAGGCAGAGTATGTGAGTGTTTCTCTTCTGCTTATGTACAAATCTGTTTGCTTTAAGCAACCAGATATTTAAAAATAGAAAAGGAAAGCTTCTATTTGCAAACATTTCCTATACATTTATTTTTCTGTGTTGCAAACACATTCTTACATGTGGGGGGAAAAAAAAATAAATAATCAGGCGGTGGTTTGTTGCTTTGCCAACGGTTGCCATCGCCCGAGGGATGCCACCTCCCGGCCGCGGCAGGCAGGGCCCGCAGGTAAGCGCGCTCAGCCGCAGCCGGGGAAATTCAAGGTGAAGCCACTGGAAATTATTTTCTGTTCTCCTGCAGTTCAGCGACGGTTACTAGTGGTTTATAAAATTCTGTCTTTAGTTAAATCTTCCATTTTAAAAAGAAACCAGCGGCAGGTGGGAAGATGATTTAGCAGCATGGCTGGCTGGCAGTTGCGCTGATATCTGCGATTTTCCTTGGACACCACCTTCGTGGTGCAGCCTTGTATATCACACAAAGCTTTCACAGCCTTTTTATTTTCCATTTTCCAGGTCTTAACTGCAGAGGAGCTCAAGATCCTTGAGCTGCACTTGGCCCCGAAAGGAGTCGATAAAGCCCCGCGCAAGGCAGGTGTAACTTTGCAGGATCGGACCATGCGTTACCAACGTTGCCTCTACCTCTTCTAAGATGGGTAAAATGTAATCGAAACAAATGATTACAAGTGTACGACAGAATACGAAGAAGGAGATTGATTGATTTTTTTTTTTTTTTTTTTTTTTTTTTCCCCCTCTGGTTGCTTTGCAGCCAGTATTCTGAGTGGTGACTGAAATAGGGATTTGTTTATGCCATTTGGACTGGGTGAGGGAAATCAGATAAAGCATCATGAATTTTATTGTAGCTGGAGATGAAAAATTTGAAGCTCAACTGAACTGCAAAATTATTGCAACAGCTGTTTGGGAAAGTGAGAGGGACGTGGCCATGACAATTTTTGTGTGTCCATACCCAGTGCTGCTGTGTGGTGGATTTGTGCTATTCCATCTTCCCATTTCAGTCTCCTCTTGCTCTGACCTTTTTTTGTAGCGCTACTGAAAAAAAAAAAACAAACCACCAAACACGTTTTAAATGTTGTTTGGATTTCTTCCCAGAAAATGGCTAAATCTTCTCAGCTGAGATCTCCATCGCTAGATAGTTATTGATTTTTGAGCTCTGACGCTGGAGCGCATTGGTAAGCATTGGACAGCTGGAATATTGCGCTGCCACCAGCCCCTCTGGAGCAGCATCCTTTCACGTGAGCAGTCAGCGGGAACAGTGCCTGGTGGGTTCCATCCTGAAAGAAAAAAGGGCAGAAGATCCCAAAGCCACCGTGCTGGTATCAACGCAAACGTGACGAGCAAAATGCCATGGTAAAATGATTGCCTGCTGCAAGGGCATTCCTCGGTTTTACCACCTGAGTAAGCTAGCTGGGTGTCTTGAGGCACAGCCTGTGCTACTCTAGAACACATTCACCATACAACTGTGTTTTGTACTCGGACACCTGAAGAGGTGATGGCCAAATATGCCTGGTCTTGGTAGAGAAGGAAAAGCCATGTTCAGTGTCTCCTCTGTTTGCCATGAGTGCTCCTTGCCCAAACGGGAACGCCACTTCCCTCCTGTGGCCCTGGAAATTGCCTTTTCTCAAAGATTTTGAGATTAAGAAATTAGCCAGCATTAAGTTTTGATATGAAATTAATTCTTCTGTTGGAAAGTCTGTCTTCTAAAACTTCTCACGCAACACCTGCCAAGGCAGGTGAAGGGGACACGAACCTCGGTAGCAGCTCCCTGGACGCCTGACTTTTCGCTTGTCCTGTTTCTCTCCATTTCCGAGTTGTAAAATGCTTGGGGGGATTGAACAGAGCAGCATAGGCCATGCTGGTAAAACAAGAAAATTTTAAAATAAAATTTTGAAAGCATAGAGACGTTTTCCATCTCTCTTGAACCCCAAAGGCCAGTGACTGCGGTTACCGAAACGGCTGAGCGCCACTGAAGCCTCTAAGATCACGGAATCATAGAATCCCAGGCTGCAAGGGACCTCAAGGACCATCTGGTCCAGCCAGATGCTGATGTCCGGGGGTATCTTTTTTCCATACTTCAAAAGATGACTCACAAAACTTTAAAATAATGTGTTTAGGCGTTAAAAAGCTGCTGTCATTCATGACTGAGTAGAGCAAGCTGAGTGGTCAAGTACAGTTTATTGAAGGGTGGGGAAAAAAACCTTCTGGCCTGCAAGAAAACCTTCTGGCCTGCAAGAAGCAGAAAATACGGCCTTTTCAATTTAGTAAAATGTGGCTTTGAAGCTGCGTTAAGGTTTGTAATGTTTAGAACAAACCCTGGAGATGGAGAGGAGAGCTGGCAGGGCAGGCTTTCATTTATTGCAATTTCTGTAGCAATTATGAAGATATGTAGTGTTGAATTCTTAAATATATTCCTAGATACTCATAATTTTAGATTCCAAATGTAAAAATCTTAGACAAATACCTCTTTGAAGTCATTAAATTAGCTACCGCTGGGATCTTATATATTCTCATGCCTTTGCCCAATTATCTG